TTTTTTTACCATTATTATTAAGTATATGTAATCTATTTTTAAAGATAAGTTGGTGTGATATCTTGCGATTTTTACAAACTAAATCAGTTAATTTAGATGTAGATGAAAAAAAATGGAGTTTATTCAACTCAAAAACATGAAATGAACTCAACAGAATTACTCACGTCTCCGACGTCGCCTCTTTCGTCGTCTTCGTCTACGGCCTGTAAATCGAAACATTTGATGAATTAACGGAATAATGCCAGATTAGCGCAATTACATCTATGTTATTCTACTGAGGGGCTCATCTATGAGTCATTCTCGGACCTCCCGACAAAAACATTGCAAGTCATTGAAATGCACAGTTAGAAGGCAATTTGCAGTAAGGGCGACCTGGCTTTCCCTTGACTGAAGCTTTTCATATAATGGGTGCCTATGACTTAACGAAATAGCATGATGAAATCAGCAAAAGTGAGATTCTAACATAACATGAGGAAATCTTTAAATGTTCAAAGCATTCAAACCACCATAAGATCTCTCGCTTAAAAGGAGTCGTGCCACCGTTTGGCGCAAGTGCAAACTATCGCTCGAGCGTATTGTACTTTTTTCGCTTTCTTACCGTCCGACATGTATTTCAGCAATCACAGACTGCAATTTATGCAAGCAGATCGATTGATGCCCAGATTTCATGGAAGATGTGTGAGTGGTGAGGGTGATTGGTACATGGCAGTCGGTACACGCAAAATGAATTCTAATTAACAAATAGGTTAGTAACTCGAAATTTCTACGAAGGCTTCCGATTCCATGAAGTTTTAAGAGTTTTTTATACTTTTTACTAGTTGAACTGAAAGGAAAACAAAGGGGATTAGTGAATTTGAAATGAAAATTAAAAATTGGATTTCCTAGTAAATAATAATTAATAGAAAGGACACGAAAATAGACCACCCCTAGCCTAAAGTGCTCTTGTACTGGGGCAGTATCTTTGCCGTTGGCATTTTTACTCTTTTTCCTTTTTTATTCCTCCTTTACATTTCATTCAACGTCATATAAATTCAACCAGACAATACCCAAAACATAATGTTTGAGATTTTTATCGGAATACGTTGACTAACGTGTTCTTGAAACGTTCAAACAAGGACAAACACGTTTTGTTACTACAGGCTGTTTCCATTTTAAGTATAGGAAAATTCAAAAAAGTTAAACCGCAAAATCAGCATTCATCGCTCGTCCATACTCCTCCATAAAGCGCAGAGTAGAGTGGTGCGGAGGTCTCTTATACGTCTCAGAGTCCCAGCCACTGTCGATCATCATTTACATGTATTCATGATTCTGGATTTTGTATTCCATGTGGAAGTTTTTCATGCTTTGGTAAATTACTTTGCTGACCTAATTATTGACGAAATTATAAGATCCTGTCTAGTATCTACTTTGAAAGTAAACCTGGTTTCAGAATTTTCGTAATGCCTTCATTTAAAAAGCTCATTGAACAATAGAGGACTATTACTTGATGACCTTGCTAATTTCATCATGCTCTTTCCGTTTAGGGTATTCTTCGAACTCTAGTCCATAATGATAAATCAGATGGTGCACTGCAGCTGCACACATAATCGCGACTCAGGACCAATCCGAATTGAAAATGTAATCACTGATCCTTCGTAGTGAACTGCGATCCTCGAACACATTTTCGATTTTTTTACGAGCTTATGAAAGCTTTTAAGGATAACAAAAGTGC